ACGTGTTGCGAAACGTTCGCAGGAAGGCGCGTGTGAAACGGAACGCGCGAAGGTGACGCACAGCCGTCGCACCATCGTTGCCGCTTGCGCGTGATTCACTGCTTCCCTGAGTCCCGGTCGGTTGTGGTTAGCTGAAGCAACAGGCGACAAGTCGCGGGTCACGTACGCACCATGACCTAACGGAGATATGTTATGGTAAATTCCGGGATGGTAAGTGGCTCCTTTCGCTTTCGGTGGCGCGTGCGGCGTGCGCTGCGCAACACTCAAGGTCGCGGGCCGTTCAACTCGGATGCGACCGCGCTGTTGCGACACCGAAATATGTAATTGTAGAGGAGTCGAGGCGCGTTTGGCAGCGGCCGCGGGCCGTAGCGCGCAACTGGGTCGCCGTCGGTTGCGCAACCGTTTTTCGTACGACAGATGGCGTGCGTCGCGTCTTCCTTATACGGCTACGGTAAACGTTGCGATTAAAAACAAAGAAATCCCTTTTTAGAACTAATCGCATTTGTTCTGGATTTAGAATGAGCTGTAACCGCAAGAGCATTGTAATTGTAGCCGTGATCGCATAACCGAGTTATTTGGTTCCGTCGCTGGTTGCTTAGGATTTATTCGATGACGTCACGACGGCCTCAAGAACGAGCACAGAGAGAATTGAGACTAATTGAAATCCAATTGGGGAAAGGATAATGACAGGCCATGCTAATGTAATTAAAGACTTGCTTCTCCAGTCAGTCTGCCGAGCAAATTATGTCGTGTCGGATCCATTAAAGTAGGTAGGTACAGATTGAATCAATAAATAAAATCATCTGATGATTCCATAAAATAAACGCAACGCAATTCATCCTGGTACCAGGTCTACGGGTAAATAAGAAGCTTTTCGCAATCCGCAGCCCTAGATACTTTAGTGTTATCATGGTATAAATTAATAAACTACAAGTTGCGCAACAGTTTGATTGAAAAATATAGGAACCAAATCAGCTGTAATGGGAATTACTAAGAAGTCAATATAGAGTTTGGGGCTTTAGTGACTTTCTCATTTCCAAGAGCACTCATATTGAAACGGCGGCAGAGAGCGAGCTGTGACCGCGTGGTCGCGTGATGTAAGGTAGTAAATCCATTTTGGAAGTTTGCGAATGTCAATAATAACGTTCCGGTCCCCCCAGCGGTCGGCGAGGCGAAAATAGTCGCCAACTATTAATACGAGGCAAGCGCTAGCGCTGCACTGCCCTTGAAACGGGACGATCACCTCGCGCACACTCCCGCGCACGCCTCACACCGACACGCGCCCATGTTAGACGCACACACGCGCGCCGCTTATCGCGATGCAGCGCGCTGCACAATACAGAGTACACACCGCGCCATCGTTTTAATTTCCATTTCGTTTGCAAATGTCACATTGACATCTCTATGTTTACTGTGCGGCCTGAGTGCTCGAATAGATCTCACTGCCGCCGCACTACTTGCAACTCCATTAACAGAAACATAACGTTAATTACAATCTGCTTGATTTTATGGTGCCTCCTTCGGCTATCGGAACGAGATAATAAACTGTTGATTAAACTGAGTTTTTATTATTATTGGTTTTAAGGAATCATTTTTACATTTCATGTCGGTATGTTAACTTATCCTGTCCGTAGATCGTGATCTCGCAACCAATAAACGGATGTATAGATTGATAGCGTAGTGAGGCATGAGCACGACGCGTCCTAGATATGTAAGTTACGTATTTAATTTAGATTAAACTGATTTAGCTCGGGGATTGTAACATTTGGTGAACTGTCAGTTTGTGATAGAGCTCCGAAACACCAGCACAGATAATGCATTCCGGTGTCCGTGCAAGGATACCTGCAGAGGGCGCGCGTGCTACGCCGCCCGCATAATGTGACGCAACCAGCTCACACAACTGAATCGCATTCAAAAATCAACTCTCAATATTCGCACGCATACGAATACCAAGTTTCGTGCTACCTACATCAGAACAATTTGGCAATTGGCAACATCCAGCCAAGGTTTCTTTTGTTTTACTTAAGTTGATAGAACCGAATCTTTTCGATCCTCGTGTCGTTTGTGTATTGGACGGACAGCTAGGACAATAAATATTGTGACAAGTACAGGACCGCGTATTACTAACTAGCGACGCAAGTTAGAAGGTAACAAACATGGGAAGTTTGTTATAATTTGCTTGCTGACATTAGTTGGAAAGCTACAAGTCGACGAGGTCCTAATTTGTGTGAGTTATACATATATTTGTAGAAACTGGTTGATTGAATTCGAACGCGGCCACATACTCACACAATCAGGTTTGGACTGCCCAATCCGAGTAGGAAGGTCGCGTTCGTTTCGCCAGAGGCTGACAATGGCGCCGGCACCGCCGCTCTTGCCCAATATTCGCGTTTGCAACACCGAAATTTCGTGTGTGCCGCATTACAGCAATGGCCGATTTACGGCTCACACCTACCTCTGGCCTGACACCACTACCGCAATACTACAGCGTGCCTTCTGGGGCCAACTCGTGGTCTCTTGGTGTGACCAGGGCGCCGGACAGCTCGTTGACTGACTCAGAACATATGTTGCATAAGCACATAAGGTAAAATGAGACGTTGAATGTGCTCTTGAGGCCGGAGACTTCATTCATGGCTCGTTATCGCAGTTTATTGTAACAACAAATTAGTCAGTGTTAGGTAGGTATGTAGCTATATATGAGAATTTTCTTAGCGGTTTTGCCTGTTTTTCATAACGTTTATCCTCCTTACCACATTGCAGCGACACAACAATACGTACGTAAACAAACAGCTTGTGACGTTGTTTCTAAATAATTGTTACTTTAGTTTTCCTCCACGTTTGAAGATTCACTTGTCTGTGTGTCTCTACATTCAATCTAAATTATGATTTTGGTTTGGATGCGGTTTCTTTTTCTATTTTTTTTCCCGTTTATTCGATTTCTGTGCGGTGCAGTCAATACAGAAGTGTGCCAATTATAAGTATAAGTAGATCCATGTGTAATTGTATATTGCTCATTTCCCTAAGCATCGCATTCGAGTTATCGTTAAAGCGTTGTGGCGGTTAACTGTGTCACGCCACTGTTAATTATCATATTGGTAGCTTCGGTTTGATACATCCGTTCACAAGACAAAGGATCCTAGTCGGGGAATTCGTTGTATACCTACAAGGCATTTTTAAAATGCGCCACAATCGAAAGTGGTCGCTTCGCATGCACCGGCAGTCGTCGCGGGCGACGCGTCTCGCATACTGCGCGCCGGTACTCGGTACTATAGTTTTTTGCATCTTTATATTAGGAGCACTGACCTTGCGCAATGTCAAATAGCTGAGGACGGGCGTGGAGCGCCAACTCGCGATAAATGGCCGATGCAACGACATGCCAACTGGTTCCGTCCGTCCGTCAGTTGCTTCTTTCGTTTTTGTGTCATGGAAACCGGCATCTCTACACATCTATCGATTATAAACATTCATATTTCTCGGAACGGCTCCTAGCTCTGCAGAGGAAGTGGCTTGTCGCTGTCGCTGCCAGTGCTCATGTTGCCGAGCTCGGCGTGCACCGAGCGTGCCTCTCCTACAGCTCTATGTATTACAATATCCGCGAAAACAAATAGCTATGACTAACCGTACTTCCCGTGTTTTTGTGTCGTGATTTAATGCAGTTTCAAGTTTATTCTTATTTGTTCTATTTTATAATATGTTTGACGCCACAGTTGGTCCCTTATAAAACGACGAAAGAGTTTAGCGCCCGCAGGAAAGCCTGTAATTAATCGCTTTGTTTTTTCCAAAACGACCACCTTACAAAGTATTTCGTTTGTTTTTCTTGAGAATTGAAACAATTGCGAGAGTGAATTATTGGCGGACATAAAAATAATATGTGCATTTAACGATACACTTCAAAGTTTGTAAAGAAGGCCAGTTGGCCACCGGCCAGGGTGCACTACTCACGCCCCCGGAAGTGGTGAGATAAAGCTGTACACCTCACACCTACGTGTATATATGTGTACATATGTACACAGCATGCGCAGCGCTGTGGTGTGCACACACAGACGCTACATGACACCAGCGCCTAATTTGTCATATGATTAGATAAAACTGCTGTTCTCAATTCTTATTACAATTTTGTAATTAATACTTTAAGCAATTAATCATGTTATGTTATTGCAATCCATAAACGAGGAACATGCGTCCCTTCCCACCGATGTATGGAGTTACTGAAATCGTTCGGTAGTAGAGCGCAACAATTGGTAAACATGGTTCCTGAATCAAACATAGTAAACAAAGTTGCGGTAATATTATTCAATGAATTGCCTACGACACAATTCCGAGAAGTTCATACTTGTTCATTTATTTGTAGGTATTGCTGCTCTATATATAAAACATGTATTCTGGTTAAATGATAAACAATAACCTCTATTATTGTATTTCTTTGCAATTGGAGGAACATGTCGCCTAACGCTATTTATGTGAAGTCTCCTCTCCTGAATTAGTCGACAATGTCTGATGTATTTTAAGAATTGAACTCATAACACATTAATAAAATAGACAAATGTTTTGATAGTCATTGGAAAATTTATAAAAAGTGTCAAAACTATTAGATCGCGCTTCCCCCGAATTCCCTGCGCGTACGCAGCTCGTAAGGTGACCTTCCGGGAGGGGCGTTCACCGTGCGGTCACCTACAGCCGCAGCGCGCTGCGCTACACCGCTCGGTGCACACTAGGTGTTCTCTATTTTTAATAACAAACTGCTTCTTTACATCTTTTCAAGTTCGACACTCATTGTGGATACTGAATGTGACTACACTTTATAAATATTTAGCACGACCGGCGCTTCCTTTTATTTTATTGCACAAATGTCTTTGATTTGTAATATTCATTTTAGCTGTTGATTTTACCTTTATGGACGTGGCAATATTTTATCGTTAAGCCTTCGAGGTACCTACTGTTTAGTTAATACAATCATGGTACAAATGAGTTAGTGTATGAGGTATTGAAGTATGACGTACCTGGTGGTCTGGGGTGTGCGGTGGCGTGGTGTTGCAGCGTGTTGGCGATCTGGTGGTGCTGGTAGAAGGGCAGGAATGGCGCGTGGAAGGGCGCAGGAGGGGGCGGCTGCAGGCGTGCTTTCAGCTCTTCGGCGGAGCCGGCGCCCGACGAGGACGATTCAACGTCAGACACGCCGCTATCTGCCGGCGAGGGGGGGAGGGAACCTGCGAAGAAATACAGCAATCACTCACAATGATCCAAGTAAGCTAGACTCAAGAAATGCCTACTGTCTTCGTCAATCCTCTGAACAAATAGAGCTCAGATTGCTACACTACACAGTAGGTCGTGTGAACCTTGTCCGCAGGTTGCGCAACATATTTGATAAAGTATAATTCATCTCGAGGGATGCATAGCCGTTATTAAATTACATTCCTAAAGGACCATCATCCTATTATACTAACGGTCACCTGACTTGCATATATTTGCATCTTGCAACCCTGCAAATGCAATTAATTCCACGGGGTCTTTGAGGCCCAACGGTCACTTTATGAGATTAACCGTTAGAGGCAAATTTCTCAGATGCATTTGCGTCCACCTGTTTGTTGTGAGAATGGTCAGCGCTGGGATCGTCGCGAACCCGTCGGCCGCCGCCGTGTTTAGATAACTTACAATTATGCACATTTTTTACTATTTAAGTTGTACAATACACAATAGGTGAAGGGGTCGGTTTTTTTTGCATTTCTAATGCGAAGTTGTTTTGGTTTACAAAAGGGTAATTTATGGCTTTATGGTGATGCAGTTTGCTGTTCTGGGATGTTTTCTTGTAATTATTTCTTTTGCATAATTTTAACTTCGTTATTCATTCAAATCTTGAATTTGAACAATAGTCGGTCAGTTTGACCGTTACTCTAGTTGCATTTTCATTAATCAAGTTTGTGAACATGGTTGTAGATTTTACTGGAACATTTATAAGATGCATTAACACATTGTAGCAAAAAAAGCGAAGAGAATTACTTTGCGGATGGAAGTAGTGTAAACAAGAATGCTTTCACGTCAGGGATCATTCTCCTACAATAGTAAAAGTTGAAAAAAAACTTAATCTGTGCATCGAGCGGCACTAGTAGTGCAGTAGTCGAAGGGACAAACTTTCTCATGTCCGGGTCCCTAAAGATAGACGTGTAACGGTTGTCCGGTATTTAAATAATATAATCAACGAACAAGTAATAGTAGAAAGCTGTTTATTCATATTTCCTCGTCCATTGAAACTATGACTGGTATAAAGTGACCATTTGACCGGTGCACGCCGGCCGCTGTCCACACCCCTTTGTGTCCATTGTTAACCCTTCAATGGTTGGTACAATGCATGGGAATCGGGAAGCGGCGATCGCGAGGGCTCCGTCACTATGACCATTTAAATTGAGACTACCTTCAAATACGATGAAACAACTGAGACCAGTTTCGGCGTTTGATTTTATTTGTCCTTAATTTATTTATTAATCAGTACCTACTGTGTAATAATGGGTAGAAGTTTGTGGTTTCAGCCCGCGGGTACACAGCTCGCCTAATCACCGGTGTTTGTTATCTAATTTTAAATATAAAGGGAAAATGCAGCAAGCTTATTTAAATACCTATATCCTACTAAATATTTATTTAATTAACTACCTTATCTATTTTGGCCCTCAAAACAGGTAAAATGTGATACCTATACCAACCGGTGCGCGGTGTCTATAGTTCTCTATTTAAACATAATATAATTTTGCATAACGAACGTGTAGCTATAGATACTGCGATTTTAATTAATCCGGTGGGCCATACGTCCGCGCTCCGGAATGGAAGTTCCCAAGCTTAAACAAAAAGCATTTGGCACCCCAATCCGGTTGACACGTCGCATCGGACACACGAGTGACCAACGGCCATATATGGAACACGGAATACGAGCTCATTGTGTTAACCCTTTCATCTCCCGTATCAAAATAATAATAAATTAACTATAAATAATGAGCGTGGCCTTATAGACCGGGGGTCGCGATTGTCCCGGATCTGGTCTACCGGTCAGCGAGGAATGTGGTCCCATTAGTAAAATATCACAATGATGACCCTTCCTTAATCGGGCCATCTTTATGGAGTGACCGCTCTTCATGCTCCTTTGTGCCCGCTGGCGTTAGACCATAATCCGCCAAGTCCTGTCTTAGATGTCGCCATTTTTTGCATATGAATAATATTGTGTGGTAAATATATATTGTTATGTAACGGATCGCCACTAACGACCCATGTATTTCTCCGATACACGTGGCGTGTGAGACGGTATTTCCCTGGCGCTGATACTTTCGTGAGTTATAGACGTTCAAGTCTTCTGACTGCTAGAACTACAATGGTTACATCATGATTCAATATGAACTATTGTTCACAATAATTCATTGTTTTCTTCAAATAATCTTAACGATTACTTCGGATACATAATGAGAAAGTGACGTTTGCATTGATTTTATATGTGTTTACTTAATACAAAATATAATTAGAATCGCCTTTTATTTAATTCAATTAGTGAATTGAAATTCAGTGTAAATGTATCTTTCTAGTTGACGGCCGAGTATATTCATTAAACCCGTCCCCTAAAATATTATTAAAAAAGAAACTTGTGATCACACAGAGTATCTCTTGGTGTCCTTTGTAAGCGTCCATTGTCACTGGTCTCCTTTAAGATGGTAATTCAGCTTAGAATAACATCGCAATGGCGTTACATAGTTTAGACCAGTTACAAGCAATCCACATAGACGTATATACGAGCTTAGGTACACGAGCACCGAGGTGCCTGGCAGATACGACCAGATACCGGTCGGAAACGATACAATATCTCGTCGGTCATGCGAAATTAGCAAATTAGCAATACTCGTAGGTACCAGATATATTGTAATCTAAGTTCAGGAAAAGAGTGATTAGTTTCTATTTATCTTTTCTTCTTATCAGGCATATTACGTGAAATCAAGAAATAATACTGGTATCTTAATAATGTAGATAAATAGAGGAAATCGTAAAGTGCGGCACGTAGCAAGGTGCTATGAACTCGTCGCACATAAGCAGATGACGACAATAGGCGCACATCCTTTGTCGTATGCAAGCCATTATAATTAACCCTTACAATATTCGCCGATTGCAAATCGAGTCCACACACAATACTGACACCGACAATGGGTTGCGTTCGCGCACCCACGCGTGACATTCTAATTTCAAAGTGTCAATAGCTCCGGAAAGCCACTACGGGGCAAATTGAAAAGATGAAAGAGATGAAGCTACGAGTTAAAATGAGACAGCATATGAGATTAGCGGCTATTGTGATGGATGACGCTGCGATTTCGCAGTGCAAGGTGCAATGTAACCCATTTTTGCGTAAAACTTGGTATTTTGGAAATGTGACAGTGAGTGGCGCAATGTGTGCAACCATCTGCCTGTTCCATTGTTTGCTTAGGATGTTGCATGTTTGGATAGACGGGTCTCAGTGACCCACTGGCGGCTTTGTAAGGGTTGAGCTTTCAAAGGTGCCGAATGATTTTAGGATTTCGCATTTTTTTGTTTAAATATGATATTCAGTTCAAGCACATGTGAGGTTATAGTGTGCCAATAACTTGTGTCCGAGCTTGCATTCTGAACACATAATAAAACGATTATTCATATCTCCCCAAATGCGCGGAGCTGCATGCAGCATACAAAATTGTGAGTTGGGTCCAAAAATAAATATTGTGCATATTGTGTAACAGAAAGTGGTCGAATCATGACATAATCCATCAAATACTCTGCGCGTTGTGTAATTACAGTCCTTTGAGTAACCCTTTCAATAAATATTATTTATTGTTCGCGACACAATCCACCCGCACGCATTGGGGGGTTAAGTGCACATTTTGGGTCAAATGTGTCCATGAGAGTTGGCCATCTGCGCTGAATGACGCAAGAAGGGGTGGACAGAGAGCGAAAGTTGTTTACACAAGGTAGCAACAATTCGGGAGATATTTCAATATCACAATACTCCCTGGTTTTAATACACATTTATAACGACGGCCAACGTTTTTGATTTGGATTTCGTTTTAATTGTCTCGTTATAACAAAAGTTTGTTAGTTTTCTAACTGGGTCAGACATTTTTTGACCTGGGTAAAGCAATCAGACATTAATTAAAAAACTTATTGGACTAACGTCAACATTGGTAAATATCAGTCAGTATTTAGACAAGTTTTATTCAAAACTCCGAATTTTATAATAAGTTTGTCGCTTTGGACAAGCTCACAGTTCAGTAAATGAGCTTACAAGAGATGGGATTGTAAGGAGCGTCGGTAATTGTGTGTGTATCAATTAGCCGAGTCAGTAGGCAGTGGCGTGTGTGCACTCCAGACGTGGTATAGCCGAGTAATTGTTTGCGAAGTGTCTCCAGAGAGTCACGTCTGTCGCCAGCGTCTGTTGCGGAGTAATGGCGGCGGCGCGGTGTGTGCGTGTGTGCGTACGGGCGGCGCGCGGTGCGTGTGTGCGTGGGGGCAGGGCGGGCGTCTCGCCGCGCGCTCGGTCGTGACATTGGGCGGGAGGATCAGCTGACGCGTCTATCGATTGCCGGCCGCCACTTCCTCTTTGTTCTTTATGAATTTTTCATGGAACAGCCTGACTGTCGGCGATCGTAAGTTTTGTTATGACGCCCGCTCCCTTGACACTATTTCATACTTATATTTTACTTTTGTTTGAGAACTTTTCATATTTGCATAGTAATTTATTGTCCTGACGATGTTCATGCTTTTTTGGATTTAGTTACTGAACAAAGAACATGAAGTTGTCGTTTGTATGGTTTGTTGTATCTGATGTATGTATTATGCAGATTATGCCGACATAATGTTAGTTCTAGATGTTGATGTTAATAAGTAAGCAGTCGTAAGCATTAGCTCGGTACATAAGCTGCGGAGGCTGGTGTCAGGCGGAGCGTGCAGTAGGGAGGCCTGGCGTGTGCCTACATGTGAGTATATATATACATGTGTAGTGCCTACAAAGTCTGTTCGGCTTAACACAGGCTCAGCTTTCAACGCAGACTACCTACTCGTTCTAAACAGAATTCTTGAACAGTCTACATAAGAGATGTTAGGCAAATAAATGAAATGTATTTCGCGAGGTTTGTGCGGCGTATTTAGCAGTCCAGTGTGTCTGAAATATTAGTAACGAATCCGTTCACACGCCGGCGTGTGTTGGGGAAGGTGCAGAAATGACGACGCTCTTAACGATATTTTCAATATTCGACATTATCATGCGTAAAGGACTGTATTAAGCCCATAGGAAAATGGTTTACGCTTTCTAGCTTTATTATAACCCTAATGCAATGTGACGCATGTATTGTGTATGTATTATTTACAGTTAATTCTATTTATAAAAGCTGCAACATGATAAAAGGCTCAGTTTGGTTTCCACATAACATATTCCTAGTGTATTACGGAATGATTTGTCAACAGGAAATAACAATTCTATTTCCTGTATTTGCAGACGATTGAAAATATTTTTAGGTCACCTACATTACTTGGTGTCGCATAAATATACATTTTGTACAATTACAAGCATGTCATAAATAAGCTCAGATTTTTTAAGTCGTTTGAAGTAATAATAAAAACATTTTAAGAACACCAGAAACCTATCTCGGACCACGTCACGATAGGATTACAGTCGTTGCGATTAGATTACGCTGCCAGACCGGTCGCATCATCCAATACGTTATTGATAAAGCGACAAAATAACTGCAAGTGGACATTTTATTATGACATAACGCCTATGACTAGATTACACTCAACCTTTTGTAAGAAAGTAATTAAATTAAATGTGTTGAGGGAAATTGAAATGAATTTCATATGACATAATACCGGCTGAGAGGGCGCTGGTCCGCTCCGGAAATTACCTCCCGACTCTATAGTATTGTCCCTCAGATATCTGTGCAAATGTAAGTACACTACACACCGCACTATAAAGTATACAACTTCATGTAAAAAGTCAACGAGAAGACTACATGTTCTTATCTCATTATTTATTTTTAGTTATATCAAATTATGACAGTATGTCACAAATGAGATTCAATTGGCTGATTAACATCTGTTTATAGTACACTAATGGCCATTAGGTAATAGTTATCAGTAACATCCATGCTCATTTTAGTAAAAGAATCGCGGAATGACAAGTTAGTGCAAAAAAATTGTCGCAAAATAAAACGTTATCGCGAGTTGGCGGTCGTGGCGACCTCTGAGCCCGGGTGCCTACACTACCTACTGATGTTTAATATCCAATGTAGCAGTCTGTAATTTCCGCTGTGAACCAATATAAGATGTACGTACCTCGGTAGGAAATGTCGAAATATGTACGTAACACTCGAAATGTTGGTAATTACCGAGCTCCCTGCAGCCGCCAGATTCTTTTGAAATGTTCATAATTTCTTTCTTTGTTACATTCGTTTATCGCATGTAGGTACTGCTACTCACAGCAATGTGCTAAATATGTATTTCATACTTGATACGTTCAGGTGTAATATCTATCTAATTCCAAATATAGCTATCTAGCCAGGACGTTACTTTGTATGCCACGATAAGATTTCGTTTTGTCTTTTCCTGCTCAGTGACTAATTTTGGCTCTAAACTTAGATTTTGTTCACGTTTAGAGTTAATGACCATGTTTTATGTAATTAATGATAAACAATATTTTCCTTCAACGCATTAAATGTATTAAATACAACACTTTCCTAGTTCTCACAAAGGCTTTTATATATATTTACGAAGCGGTAGGAAATTTACCTGTGTTAGGGGCTGTGTAGAGGTGATGCCTGGCGGTGGGGCCCGGGGCCAGCAGCAGCAGGGCCCGGCTGAGCGAGCTGCGGGTGCTGAGCGGCAGGCCGGCCGGCTCGCCGTCCACTGCAACAACGATACACACGTTGAACACACACATCAACAACTACTCCAACACTACATCAAAATACAGGTTCTATATTTAGCAAGCAAAAGACAGGTAAACGTAAAACAAAGAGTAAAGTGAACTCCCCTAGCATGAGTCATTCAGATGAGCTAAGCATTGATCAATCTATAGATACGCAATTATTTCAATTTATCTAGCGGTCGACTTTCCTTCGTCTCTGATTCATACAACACCGACGTCAGTGCAGACAACCCCCAACGACTTGGGATATAAAAGTAAAATATTTTGAAGTGTAAAGGGCGCGGGCCGGCTCGAGACAGCTCTGACGCTAAAGGGTTTTAGTGTTTAACGTCTAGAAAAGACAACTTGGAAGCTCGTTTATCAAAATTTCTTCAGGTAAAACTTGTGGACGGTACCCTGGGGAGGTCGCGCGCGCTGTCGACTGTTCTAGAAGCTGGTACGCAGGCAGTGGCTCCGCAACCCTTTGTTACAAACTGTTCATCACTTATGTATGTGGAATAATGTCGAGTGTGCGTGTGAGCCCTGCTAGCCGTCACAGAAACGATTTATAGACCAGATTTCTTAAAACAAGCTCCGGATTTTTTGTTAGATGAGCTACTTTCATAAATTTATCGCTTGTTGAAACTTCACTTATTGTACTACTGGGTAATGTAGGTTGTATCGTAAAAATACAAGATGTAATAAAATGAATCGATTGATTAACATAATTCAAATCTATTTATAACGTAGATCAATGATCAGATACCGCTGCTGAGTGTCAGTAATTCAATTAGTTTACTGTATACTCTGTACTGTGGCTCTAAATGCCAGCAAATGGTTTGTGACTTACAGGAGACATAAAACTATCGCGGTAGTTACATATTTTATTTAATGGTCTGATGACACGTTTTGTTAATTTATATACGTGTATGTCACGACTGATACTCAAGTATAGATCAGCCAACTTAGAAGTCAGAAGAGTTGTCCAATGCTTAAGAATAATTCAATATCGAGTTACATCCGAACTTTAGATCATTAAAGAGTACTCGAGAAGTTTCGGGAGGTCGCATGTTCCAGGGAAATTACCGCAAAATCGATATAACATTGTATATAATCTGGCTACATCCGAGCCAGACGCTTCCGTGCGCCGACCTTGGGCCCCCGCAACCCCCTAAATTATTCACGGACCCACCTGTTGTCTCGTTCTACCCCCGGCGAGCACTGCGCATGTTTGACGCATAGAGTGGGACGGATGAACGCTTTCCCTTTCGTTTTTCAGGTCGAAGTGTCTAGACGGAATTTGAACTCTTTACAGCCCGGGCACATGTGAGCCGGTGTGTGATAGCAGCTATCAGGAGAATGCAAATGTGCCAGCTCGGCAGCCGGCAGTCACGCGACGCCAGCCGCCGCCCGCCACACTCCGGCTGCTCACTGCATGCTGCCGACTGCCGGCTGCCGGCTATTCACGAGGCCCTTCACTATTTGCTACTTAGGGATCCTACAGTTTCAGTTTCAAGTATTTGAGGAGCAGCATTTAATGTCACAGCGTGATGCAAGTGTATGACCGGAGGTGATGTAATGTGGCGTAGTCTTATTTGCAACACAATTATCTACATACCTATGTATTTATGTCCGGTCAGAATGCTTACTTACGCTACAGTAATATATGACACCTTAGTTCATATAGTTATCTAGTCTGCATACTGCAAGTAATATTACGTAGTGGAGTATAGCAGTGCTTCCATTGCATATATTCGTATAATGAACAGGCGAGCGGTTTGTTTTCCTCACGAAACAGATTGATCAAATTGCAAGTGAAATTCAAAACAAATGCATTGGAAATAGTTTCAAATGACTGGGTGTTGGCGGCGGAATGGGGACAAAGCTCTGAGTGGATTAGACGCCGGCTTTGTGGGGGGTTAACATCTCGCAGCATTAACTGAGCGAGGTGCTCTGAATACATACTGGATCTACATCTCGTACTTTGCGATATGTACAAGTATTACGTGATTATGTATATGTGGAAGGTTCCTGAACACAATATCGGGAGCGACATAAAAACAGAATAAATGTCAGTCGTTATCGAAGGAGATAACAATAAAAACAGTATTCAAAACAGTGCCGTGTTGATAGCCGGACTAACAGAGCATACAAATACAACTACGTGGGACTCTATCGGCGAGGATTCAATTAAATTGGCAGCATCGCGACGACTGGGGATGAAGCTCGGCACGGCCCGGACGTGTTGCCCGCGTTGGCACCCTGCATTATTCAGTGCGGGGGCAGGCGCTGCATACCTACTCCAGCCATTCAGACTGCAGGGTCAGTGACCCCACTGCTCGGCAGAACAAACAAAAATATAGTACACCAGAAGTAGGGCGCGCTGAAGCCATACTCCCACGTCCCAGCTCCCGGCCTATTAACTCTACCGAGCTCCTACAACCACTTATTTTTAACCAGCGCACAACTAAGTTTGCGAAGCCTTCTTGTTTCAGTTCGCCCCTCGTAATTTTCATCTGAATTTCAAAATTTCCTCACTCCTAGAGAACGTGACTTGCTACAACTGTACAGTGATAGTCAACAAAGTGTTTATTGCGAATATTTGTTGAGCATTAAGCGATTATCTCGGATCAAGTTGTGAGAGATCCACAGATAGCCGGGAGAGCGATGACGTCACTCAGCGTCCGCCCTACGATTATAAAGGATCCACTTCCTTCAGGTTCCCACGGCAATTTCCGAAATTGAATAGCACATATTTGTTTAGCCAATATTGAATATATAAATAATTAGTGTTTAATCAACGGCAGATGTTGTCGAGTTTTCGCTTAATAAAGTAATCAATAGCAGTGTTCAGTAAGTGATGTAGTGCGTACAGCGCACAGTACAGCGGGACACTGACAGCGCCGCGCACCGTCCACTCAATAAATTACAATTTGGGTACCAACCGGCCAGTCCGTGTCTAGGCTGCCCAGAATAAGAAATAGCCTAAATAAAACCTAAGTTTTGCTACGTCTTATATTTCGGATACTAAAGCACACTGGACGTTTTTAAAACTAAATCCTTAAAATATACTTCTAAATATATTCTTTCATTCATTGGATATTTTTTATTCTTCCAGAACGTACTAAAGAAATTTAAATTAATTTTCGAAAAAGAAAAAAAGCGCGATGAACGTTTGCCCAGCGAACTAAACAGACGAGCTTTCGTTGTAATGTATCGTACACACAGCACAGACTGTACAAGATGTAAAAATTCAAAGAGAATGCTGTGAACCTCTGTCTGCTGCAAACCTTCCTTTGTGTTTAATCATAAAATGTTAAAACAAAATATTATACATGTAGCGGGTGGGGTCAAAAACACGAGCTTCCTACAGAACGACGGAGCTAAAGGGAACGTTGCACCGGAGCAACACATAGCGAGCATATTTCGCGTGTAGCTCCAGCTCGAATAATAGACGTGCTGGGGCGCACACCCCGTGCATTCACCTGCAGCCCCCCGCCCCCAGCGCCCAGCTCCCAGCCACCAGCAGGGGAGGCCGGCAGGGGGCGCTGCATAACTTATACAAGTTTGTTAATATTTCAGCGCAGCAGGAAAGTAAAAGTTGTGCTCAGTTGGATTAAACTGAACTTGTGTGTTGTCTCTTTATGAATAGGGGAACGTCCGCTGCGGTGTTGCTAATTAGACGCGCTAATTTGTTGGAATTACTTCACTTGTGTGGTTGCAAACTGAACTGTTGGAGCCGAGCGGGACGAGGCACAAGTTTCAGATTTGTTCGTGGAATTATTTCTAATTGCTTTTTTCTCCTACGACAGCTACGGCGAAGCGGAAAGATCGGCGGTGGATACAACGCGATTTTCCTTTACTCTTTCAAAATGATTTCCTCTGGTCGTTTGCTGTATCTCAGTACATAATGAAGCAGTGCGAAATGTGAAGCCTGTTTAAAGCATTCTTTAATCATTTTAATATTAGACAGACGTATAAAATCATTTGCGCTTCTCATAAAATGTGTCGCGAGCGAAAGTTCAAAGCGCATATTTCTTAAATTAACGTAAATCGTCGGTTTTAATTATTTCCTGTCGCTTTTTAAAAAATATACGAAAATTTCTGTCGGTGTTTGTGCAAGTGGTATTTCTTTGTTTCGATTTAAAAATACAATCGCTAAAATTATAATTATTGTAAGTGCAGTTGTTGGGAGCCAAGCGACATGACGCGGTGGAAGCCAAATGTGCTGGTGGAGTCATGGACTTCACGCGATCCTGCCGTGGCAGGGTGTGACTGGACTTAGATCGAGGATGGCTGACGTTAATTAGACATTGCAACAAAACCATTAGGATGTAAGAAGGCGATGTTTAGACTGTTGTATTTGAACAGTGTATGGTTGCATTCTCCGCGCATCGTTCGCAGTTCTTGTTAAGTCGATCCGGATTTCCCGTGGCCTTTTCCCCGCGATCCTCGGAGTTGCCGTAACGAGCGGTGTAATGGCGGCCTGCCAGTCGCTGGTAAGCTCTCGAGCTCACCGGTAATCTGACTTACCGCTGCATTATTGAAACTTATGTCTATAATCTTGTAGAATCAACTTATTTTCCTTTACTCTTGAGAATAATGTTCGGAGTTTGATCTTTTGTTTTGCTTTATAGAGTAACGAATAATGTTGCATGAATTTCCAGTAGACCGAGCATTACTTAGTACAGAGTGCTGAACATTATACATTTGTTCTATATGGTCATCGGCAGGGAAGTGGCCGATAGCACAATAATAAAATTAACTACACGTGGTGCGGGTGACGTCAACCGTAATGAATTCAATGCCCTCCAAGTTACAAGTGACTAGCGATCTGATGCACCATGTTTTATGGAGGTGGAATATTACTGTTAGGAATAACATGCATTTTGTTGTTACGATGAGGTTGACGAGAAGTTAGTAGTGATATTAAGAGATGGTAAATGGTGCCTTAAATAGTAAAGTTATTAGTAAATTAGTAAACTTATATTTAATAGGA